GCTGCCTGGCTGCCGGCCGCCATCTTGGCTGGCAGTTAATTTGCATATTGCCCTGATTAGCCAATGGGAAGGGTAGCCATCGTAGGCTAATTACCATGTTTCTCTTTTATTAGATAGGATAACCACATGTCCATATTAGAAAACATAGGTAGACAGTAGCAAATAACACAAAGGAGATAATACTAATTTCAACATTTATTTTCAGATCTGTTTGCTTTAAAAAATTTAGTCACTCTGGCCTGTCTTTCTCAGTAGTTAGAGCACCGGCTTGTGCATTGAAGGGTCTTGGGTTCTGTTCCTGGGCAAAGGCATGTACCTGGGTTGCTGTGTGGGAGGCAACCAATTGATGTGTCTCTCTCATGTGGATGTTCCCCTTCCTCCCTCCCTTCCACTCTCTCTAAAAATCAATGGTGATTAATTCAACTGTCAGCCCTTCTCCCATTCCCTGAGGTCAGGGATATAGAGGATGAAGAGTGAGGCTGAAATTTCCAACCCTCTAATCCAGTGGTTCTCAACCTTCCTAATGCTGCGACCCTTTAATACAGTTCCTCATGCTGTGGTGACCCCCAACCATAAAATTATTTTCGTTGCTACTTCATAACTGTCATTTTGCTACTGTTACGAATCGTAATGTAAATATCTGATATGCTGGATGTATTTCCATTGTTACAAATTGAACATAATTAAAGCATAGTGATTAATCACAAAAACAATATGTAATTATATATGTGTTTTCCGATGGTCTTAGGCGACCCCTGTGAAAGGGTCGTTCGCCCCCCAAAGGGGTCGCGACCCACAGGTTGAGAACCCCTGCTCTAATCATTTGGCAACCAGGCCTCATCACTAATCATCAGAGAAATGCAAAACGACAATGAGATATCACCTCATACCTGTCAGAATGACTATTATCAAAAAGACAAGAAATAACTTGGTGTTAGCAAGAATGTGGACAAAAGAGAACCCTGGTACACTGTTAGTGGTAATGCAAATTGGTTCAGCTACCATGGAAAGGAGTATGGAGATTTTAAAAAATTGAAAATAGAACTACCATATATGATTCAGCAATTCTACTTCTGGGCATTTATCCGAGGAAAATGAAAACACTAATTCAAAAAGATATGTGCACCCCATGTTCAATGCAACATTATTTACAATAGCCAAGATATGGCAACAATCTAAGTGTCTATTGATGGGTGAATGGATAAAGAAGCCAAGATATATATGTGGAATATTACTCAGCCATAAAAAAGAATGAAATCTCGGCATTTGTAACAACATGATGAACCTCGAGGGCCTTCTGCTAAGTTAAATAAGTCGGAAAAAGACAAATACCTTATGATCTTTTATATATGGAATCTAAAAATAAATAAGTAAAATGGAAAAACCAAGCTCATTGACACACAGAGAACAGATTGGTGGTTGCCAGAAGCGATGGATGAGTGGTGGGAAGAATGGGTGAAAACTTTTTTCAGTTTAAATAAATTGAATAATAAAAGAAAAAGAAAAAGATGACCTTTAGGATTTTCAGGCTTTTATTCTGGCAGAAGGAGTGATTTGTCCACGTTTTTATGTGCTTCGGTTCTGTGTTTATCAAGCTGTTGTAAGAATTCAGATCTTGATTTTGATGAATGATCTTGCAGAAGTTCAAGGGAAGAAGTCATCCAGTGTTTCCACACCAAAGCTTTCGGAAGGCCAGCGCCTAAGCAGTTTGACCTTCGGGTGCTTTTCATCCCGAGCGAGGAGTCCTCCTCAAGTAGTAAAATCGGAGGAAATGAGCAAGATACCATCTAAAGAACCTGAGTTCACTGAAGGAAAAGACATAGAAGGTATTTATGAACTAGCGGAATTTGCTTTGACATTTTTTAAAAGGGAAAAATCCTTATATAGCTTAATTTTCCTTTTTTAATTTTTCCGTCACTCAAAAGGGTAAATATACAAAATCTCTCTGAATGATTCATCCTAGTTTTCTTATTTTTTTTTTCTTGACAGGTTCATGTCTTATGAGAATACTTTTAAAGAGATGTTCAGCATTTAACTTTGTGTATCTAAGTATGTTTTTTTTTTGAGAGTCTTTGCCAGTGAGGTAGAGGAGAAACTGATTTTCCCCTCTTGGTACTTCTTCCTGCAGTAGGAAGCAATGATATTTAAAATTACAAAAAGGTTTATAGCCTGGCTGGTGTTGCTCAGTGGTAGAGCATCGACCTGCACACTGCATTTTGAAGTAAAAAAACAAAATGGGAACAAATACAATATTTGTATTTGCATGTGGCCCGCGGGCCGTAGTTTGAGGACCCCTGGCCTTGGAGGTCACAGTTCGATTCCTGGTGAGGGCACATGCCCAGATTGTGGGCTCTATTTCAGTGTGGGGCATGCAGGAGGCAGCCCATCAGTGATTCTTTCTAATCCTTGATGTTTCTATCTCTCTCTCCCCCTCTTTTCCTCTCTCTGAAAGTAATAATAAAAAAAAAAAACATTTTAAAAAGGTTCACAGTTGCACCTACATGGTACTTGTTTCAGCTTAGAGTTTCAGATTAGTACTATGAACTTTCTGTTCATTACTTATTTTAAATATTTAAAAATTACCTAATATTAAATATGACATTGCAAATTTCTAAAGAAAATGAGCACCAAGGGGCAATTTTTGTAACTGCTTTGATTTTCCCTTTATTGCTTCAACGAGGAAAATATTTGCCTGGATGTTGAAACCCTAACCTCTGTGCAGATTTATATTCCTTTTTTAGCCTTAAAGCCCCTCTAAATTTTGCTTTGTGGTGCCGCTGCTGGCTTTGCCACCCAGAATGACTTTTCCCAGGTATTTCAGGGAGACTTGAATTTGCATCTTCTCTATTTTCAGTTCCCACTTTGCTTCCCCCAAAGGAGAAAAATTATAGCCCTAAAAGTCTATGCTTGATTATGAAATTCTGAAAACTGCCTAATGCTTTTTCAGCGAGAAGGCTCCTTTGCTACTCACTTTTATGCCATGACTTGCATTTTTGCTGTTGTTTGTTGAGAAGGCTGCCTGTATTGAAACTTTCGTTCATTTGCAGAGTTAACAAAGTGCCTGCTACCGAATTGCAGTTTATTTGTTCAGCCTCTATTTCCTTAGTTATAAAGGTCATACCTATGTTTCTGTTTCAAAGTTTATTTTGTACTCTTTGATCTAAAATTTTAGTTCGCTGTTTCTGAAGCCAGTGGTTTATTCTGTTAATTATGTTATAAACAAAATAAGCCATATCTAAGGACATTGTAGACGAGTGTAATTCTTACTATAAAAACACATTTTGAAGTTACGATTAAACCAGAAGTAGAGGGAGGAAAGCCCTTCTCTGTTTATGTTTTCTTCATGGTTTTGCATATTTCATGTATTGAAGTTTGGAAACCAAGTTTGTTATTTAAACTATATTATGTTTAAATTTACATGTGATGATTTTGAAATAGAAATGTAAGAGGGTTGTCCTTCTCTTGGCTTCTAAAATCAATTTAAGAATGTTCATGTTTTAGTGGCTGCTTTCTTTGATAGGTAGTGTTGCCCTATTTCATGTTTTGCTTCTTTGATTATCTCTCCTTAGACTAGTGTCAGTTTTCCTCCCAGCATGTTTGCTTGTAAAAGCAGTTTCATTTTGATACTATGCTATTGAAGTGTCAGGGCTCCATGTTTCATATAAAGCTTATCGTTTCCAAACTTGGGTTTAAAAAAGTCATACAACTAAAAAAAAATAATAATAATGTAAATTAACTTTATTCTTATGAAAACTCCAGTTTTGACAGTGTAGTTACAGAAAGCTAAACGCACAGAAAGATGATATTATTAAAGGCAAACATGTGAATATGATATTTGCTTTTCTAGAAATGGAAATTCCAGAAAAGTCTGTCGATAACCACATTCAAGAAAACAGCCGAGGTCAGAGAACTTTGCGTCAAACCTCCTGTGGCTCAGAGCAGAACCGGAAATCAAGAACAAGTCTCGCGACAGAGGGTGGCATCTCCCAGAATTCTGGGGCTCCCGGGAGTGACTGGAGTTCCGATGAGGAAGACGGGAGCAAAGGAAGATCCAAGTCCAGGTACACGTCCACCCTGTCCAGCCACACGTCAGAGGAAGGGGTCCGGTGCAGCAGGATGGGCAGTGAACCCTATCTGACAGCGTCCGATGACAGCAGTTCTATATTTGAAGAAGAGACGTTCGGCATAAAGAGACCAGAGCACAAGAAGCTGTATTCTTGGCAGCAGGAAGCACAGTGGAAAGCTCAGAATAGTCTTCTTGGAAAGGGAAATCCCGAGTCGAGTAAAAAGGAGCACGATAGTTCCTCCGATGAACTGAATAAAAAATTTCAGTCTCAGAGGCTGGATTATTCATCGTCATCGAGCGAGGCCAACACCCCAAGCCCGATTTTGACCCCAGCGTTGACTCCAAAGCATCCTAACCTACTGCCTGGAAAAGGAACCCAATTAGTGCCTTCATCCAACCTGCCACCCCCCAAGTTAAGGATTCCTAATGTTTTCAGTATAAGTGTAGCACTGGCCAAAAGGCACCTAAGCCAGCCTCAGTTAAGTTCCGATAGGATGTTTGGTACGAACAGAAATGCCATAAGCATGATCCGGCCACTGAGACCCCAGGAAACAGATCTGGATCTGGTGGATGGCGACAGTACAGAAGTTTTGGAGAATATGGACACCAGTTGTGACGACGGATTGTTCTCCTATGACTCCCTGGAATCCCCGTGTTCAGATGACCAGGAAAGCTGTGACTCGGCAAAGAAGGCGGCGTGCAGCAAACCTCCGACTCCTCCCCTGCACCGTTTTCCCTCCTGGGTAAATTGTATTGCTGTGTGCAGCACATGCACACTGTGTGTGTGTGTTTTTTTTCTTAACACTCATTTTCAGGTTTGACTTCTTTTCCTGTTTCTTTTCAAATCCACCTTTGTTCTGATCATTCCCTGTTTTCAGAACAGAATTTCCCCTTCTCTTTCTCACTGAGTTCTGGATCAATGAGAGGAAAGACAAGGAGCCCTGACCGGTTTGGCTCAGTGAATAGAGCGTCGGCCTGCAGACTGAAGGGTCCCAGGTTCTATTCCGGGCAAGGGCATGTACCTTGGTTGCGGGCACATCCCCAGTAGGGGGTGTGCAGGAAGCAGCTGATCGATGTTTCTAACTCTCTATCCCTCTCCCTTCCTCTCTGTAAAAAAAAAAAATCAATAAAATATATTAAAATAAAGAAGCAAGACAAGGATACGACAGATGGGAGAGCAAAATATTACCTTTATTACTGATTAAACTGATTTTAGAGAATTGGTGGGCAGAGGAGCTTTCTCATACTGGACCTTGGAGCTAGCTGATTGATTCACCAGTTGGTGCTGGACCCCCACAGGCTGCAGCCAGTGAGGCTCTGGCCTCGGAAAGTTAAAGCCCAGAGCATGAACAAATGGTTGTTCTGAAGAGAAAGGAGAGAGGAAGGTGCTGGACTCTGCATGTCCAGTTTCTCCTTCTAAGCTTACCGATCTCATTAAGCCACTCCTTCTCTTCGGGGAGGGGAGAGTGAATAGTTGGGAAGAGATCAGGAGTGTTGAATTACTGGAGCCCCCTCCACATGTAAGAAAACATCTGGGGTGGAGAAGAAAGGTTCCTCTTTAACTGTGTTAATACTTGTGGGTGAATTCTCAACCAGGACGCTTCACTCTTACTGGTCATCAGTTTTTGAAGTTAATTATTTCATTGATTGGCCTTAAGAGAAATTTAATTTTACTCTTTATGAACTTATAAATCCATTCCTTTAACCAAAAGCATCTTCCTAAATATCCAGAATAGATTGAAATTCTTCCATTGAAACACTGACAATTAATATAATAATTCACCTATCAATTCATCCATCAATTTAAAAATTCTTCCTGTATTTGAAACAAAGTGAAATGATCTGTTCTGTAGATTTAAGTTTTCCTTCCCATTTTGACATAATTTAACCGGTGGCCTCAAGAGAAACACCTGAGTTGCAGGAATTTTGGGTTTTTGGAGTCATGTTCTGTTATTTTTTTATTTAGTGAGAAATGCCATTTTTAGCAAATTAAGGTGACCGTGTTTCCTAGTATAAATTCAGACCTTGAGCTGTGCATGCTCTTACTTACTTTCAGAAGAACCTTTCATTGTCCATATGAAGCCGTCTGCAGTTTATTATTAAATTCTGGACAGCAGAAAAAGGAAGGGGATGTTATTGGCATGTGAATCTCTGGAATTCCAAATATGTTATCCTTTAGGCAGCGCGCTTTTCTTACTATGTTGAGATTTCCAGAGATTTAGGTTAGGCTTTCAAGTGTGTTTTAGTTGGCAAACCATTTCACTTTTTTTTTTTTTTTTTTTTTTTTTTTTGCCTTTCTTGCTTTTCCTTGGCTGCTGAAACTATTCAATCCTGAAAAAGTACTATTGTTTTTCACAAACCCTTTAGCAGACTGGCCAAGTTTGAGATTTTATTTTTGTTTATTGGTATTTTCAGGTTTCACAAAAAAGAGATGTATTCTAATTACCTCAATTTATCAGAGTTTATTTTATTAAGAGTTTAAGACATAACCCATCCTTATTGAACTTGACTGTCATTTAAAATTTAGTAGTCACTCTAAGGCAGTGATGGCGAACCTATGACACGCGTGTCAGAGGTGACACGCGAACTCATTTTTTTTGGTTGATTTTTCTTTGTTAAATGGCATTTAAATATATAAAATAAATATCAAAAATATAAGTCTTTGTTTTACTATGGTTGCAAATATCAAAAAATTTCTATATGTGACACGACACCAGAGTTAAGTTAGGGTTTTTCAAAATGCTGGCACGCCGAGCTCAAAAGGTTCGCCATCACTGCTCTAGGGGGACAACATGTGCTGATTGAACAGCACCTCTGATAGTCAGCCACTTAGAAACCGGTGACACCATTGCTCCAGGTCCAGTGGCTCACTTGTCCTTTCCTGTCTACAATGAGTCTGCTTTTCTCACCACTACTAACTACACTTATTCACTCTCCCCTGACTTTTCACTGCCTCACATCTCCCATTTACTGTCTTATCCTATATAATAAAAGGCTGATATGCAAATCGTCCCCTCAACTAGGAGTTCCACTGGAAGTTTGACCAGGGGACGGGCCAGCCCACCAACCTCCTGCGTCCCCTCCCCCCTGCCGACTCAGCCCGATTGCCCCATTCAGGGTGGGCCGGCCGGACCCCACCAGTGCCTGAATTCATGCACCAGGCCTCCAGTTCTGCCAACTCTGCCCACACTCACACTCTCAAAGAAACTGCATCTGAGTCATTCAGTCAGCCACTCTTCAATCCAAAGTGTCTCAGACAGTTAGAGATTCTCATGCCCGTGACCTCACAAGCCCCTGGCTAGCACAGTCCTCAACAGGACTACCTTAGGTGCCTGCTGTACTATGGTCTAGACAACTGTATCCAGGTTAGAGTCCCTCATAGGGGCAGGGTTAATAACCTTTTTAGTACCCATTTGAGAGCTATCTCTGAAATGAAAAAGAGAAAGCAAAATAACCTACTTCTGGAACAAGATATTATACATTCCATTGCAATTCTCAAATTTACTATTTGACCTCGGGTGTTTCTTCTACTTCATTGAAATATGAAGGTAATAACACTTAATGCTACTCTATCTGTGATTTCTGATTTCAAGTTTTTTCTTTTTTCTTCAACCATGTTCTAAAATGGTAGAGTATTAAAGGCAATATTTATGTGTAGTCAATGATTATGAATGGATTCTGGCTTCAGCTTACAACTATTCAAGGTTTTCCCTTTATTTTCTTTGACCATATTCTAGAATGGTAGACTATTAGAGGTAGTGCTTATCTAGAGTCAGTGATGGATTGTGAGGAAGCTTTCTATTACTTTTTTTTCCTATCTCCAAGAGAATTTAAAATACCAAGCAGAAATTTGGGAACAAAGATAAATAATGGAATTATTAATGGATGGAAAAAAACTTCTGCAGTGCTATTCACAGTGGCATATTTTAGTTGGCCATGGTGACAGTTTTATAATAATGCTGTACTCTAATGAATATTAAATGAAAAACATGTGTATTGAAAGTAATCATTTCTTTGCTTTAAATATTCAGTTTAAATTTCTCTTTTACATTAGGAAAGCAGAATTTATGCTGTGGCCAAATCAGGCATTCGAATGTCTGAGGCTTTCAATATGGAGAATGTTAATAAAAGTAAGTGATTTTGCATGCTACCACATGGATGAACCTTGAGGACATTACGCTAAGTGAAATAAGCAGTCACAAAAAGACAAATACTGTATGATTCCACTTATATGAGGTATCTAAAGTAGTCCGATTCATAGAAACAGAAAGTAGAATACTGGTTATTGGGCCTTGGGGGAAGGAAAGGGAGAATAGTTGTTTAATGGGTATAGAATTTCAGTTTTGTAAGGTAAAATGTTATCAAGATCAGATTCACAACAATGTTAATATACTTAACATTAACTGAACTGTACACTTAAAAATGATTAAAATGGTAAATTTTATGTTAAACTTTTTTTACTACAATAAAAAGTATTAAAAAATTAAAATATAAAAATAAGTGATTTTGTACTGCTGTTTCATTAGCCAAGAAATTCCTAAATGTCTAAATAATAGAATAATAGAGTTATTTAACCTTTCAGAAAATGATTTCTAGGATAGCTGATTTATATTTTAAAATTCAGTATAGGGGCACATGAACATTTCATTCTCATGCAGAGAGTACCTCATTATGTTTTTACCTAGAAAAGGCTAAAGCAAAGAAACTGTGGCGTTTCAGCTGTTTAAAGGAAACATACTGGTCTCTATGTTCTCTTTTTCCAGAGTTTAAAACACATTTCTCTCTTTTCCTTCCTTCTTCCTTCCCACCCTTCCTCCCTCCCTCCACCTCTCCCTCCCTCCCTGTCTCTTTCTTTCATCAAAAATGTGTTATAAAAGCAACACATGCCAATTATAATAAAATAAAATAAAATCACAAGGAACTGTCTGGAAAAAAAAGAGAAATTTTCCCGTGGTTCCTTCTACCTATCCCACCACTAATTCACATCTCAGAGATGCCAATTATAATAAAATAAAATAAAATCACAAAGAACTGTCTGGAAAAAAAAAGAGAAATTTTCCCTTGGTTCCTTCTACCTATCCCACCACTAATTCATATCTCGGAAATAACCACTGATATTCTGTTTCTTTCCAACTATCTCATGTTCTTACCATTTAGGAGATTGTAGTCTAACCTTTCAACATGAGGTTCACCTGATAAAGGCCTAAGAATGATGTTTTAACACCATGTCAGTGATAATCAGAGCATATCTTCATAGGCTACTGCTCACTGAACCAGTCAGCAGGTGTTTGTACTTATTTCTGCCCAGACTGAGCCGGATGGAGATGCCGTTGAAATAAAAGCCATGCTCCTTGCTCTCAGAGAGCTTACAGTCTAGTTGGGGAACCAGCACACATGAGGAAATAATGAACCATGTAGTACAGTGTGTAATTAAACCTGCAAATGCCATAATTCTTAAAGTAGACTATATAACCAGTAATCATGTGTGTTGATTCAATTTCTCTTTTAATTGGAAATTTTGTTAATTCACATTCGTGAGAAATAGACCTAAATGCTGGTTAGAAGTTTTTGTGTTGTTTTTTAAAAAATAATTTTGTTTTCTGTTTCAGATTCTGTTGCAATGCTTTCCTATACCACATCGGGACTTTATACATCTCTGATATACAAGAATATGACAACTCCAGTGTATACAACATTGAAGGGGGTAACTCATTATTGTTACTGTTAAACATGTGGATCTCTTCATGACGGGTCAAGAAGACTGTTTATTCAAGCTCCATATTTCATTCTTGTCAGTTTCCACAGACTCTCCCTTTATGGGGAGTTTTAGAAATTCACTCTAATATAGCATATAAAGATAAGAAATGAAAGATCTGGAGAAGATATTTCTTCTTATCAGCATCAGAGGTCTGAATCCAATTTTGTTATGTCCCATGTGATACTCCACCCCCTCCACGGTTTACTTAATTGTTTAAAGGAAGTATGTTACTAACGATGCCATGAAAACTAATTTAGAAAGATCTTTGTGTCACTGCCAGGGCTCTCCTCCCTTGCTTGAAGAACCTTATTAAAATAAGTATCACCAGGTACTCATGGCCTTATGTTTTCAGGAATCTTTTATAAATTGCCAAAATGCCATGCTAATTAGAATTTGGGACTTAACAGCATGACTTTGATAATGGCAAAACATGTTCTTTCATTCCTTTAAAAACGTTTATTCCATGGCTGCTTCTGGTAAAACATTCTATATCTAAAGAGAGAGGCGACTGTAGAGGTGGCCACATAGAGGTGGTTCTGCTTTTCTGTAGAAGGCGACCCAGATAAGCAGCAGCCCGTTCCTGGACGAGTCCTCTGGATCAGAGGAAGAAGAGAGTTCCAGATGCAGCTCCCGGACGTCAGAGTCCGACTCGCGCAGCCGGAGTGGGCCAGGCAGCCCCAGAGCCATGAAGCGAGGTGAGCGAAAGGCTCGGGCATACAAGGCAACTCCAAACCGTTCAGAATGCTAAATGGGACTTTTATCTCTGTAATAGGATTTTTAAAAAAGTCAGAGCACTTATTTTAAACCACGGTGACGAGAGAATTAGCCTGAGACTAAGACGCTTATATTCTCGATCCTCTTCGTGTTCCCAGACAAGCCACATATACTTTTTTGTTTAACCTTTTCTTTCATGTAAAAGAGAAAACACTTTATTATGGGAATAATTTATTTGGATAATTTATGGGATAGATTTACTTCAGTTCAATTTGTTATACTGCTAAATGGCAACAAATACATCTGAAAATCTGGTGGTTCATCTGGTAATAAGATAGAAAACAATGAAAAATTTACTTTAGATATATTTGTGATTTTTAGTGGATTTGGAAGAAATTTTTGGCTTAGGAAGAGGTTACAGAGAGATTTCATCACACTAAATGGTGTCTGTATTTACAAAAACCTTCAAGTCACCATGATATGTTTGTTGGTTTTCAAACGGTGTTCCATGGAACCCCTAGGTATTCCCAAACCCCTCATTTTCAACTGGAGTCGTCAGTTTTCATAGGTTTAGTATTTGGGGCTTTCACTAGTCTCTTTGCTCATACCTTGACTCTCTACCCCACCCCCTACCCCCCAGCTAGATTCAGGTTACATCACACTTTTTTACTCAAAATACTACAAGGACTCATAATGGCTATAAGGTGTCTTTTATGTCCTTCCTCATTTCCTTTTTTTCTCCTCCTTCACTCAGCTCTGGCCACACTGCTGTTCCTGGAACATTCCAGGCCCGCTTTTATTTCAGGACCTTTGCACTGGTTGCTTTCTCTGCTTGGTATTCTTCACCCAGATGTCTATATGGCTGACTCCCGCGCCTCCTTCGGTGCCTGTGCAGACACTGCCCTCTCAGAGATCTGCGCTGACCACACCATTCAGATGGACTCCTTTGCCTTCTCCAACTGCTGGACTCTTAAAAATTCCCTTAGTCTGCCCTACATATTATTTTTCCACAGGACTTAGTGCCTATTTTTTATCAGTCTCCCTCCAACTAGAATCTATGCTCCATGAGGGCAGGAAAGGTTCTGTTTTGTTGTCTGTTCTATCGCTAGCACCTAGGATGGTGCCTAACATACTGGCCCTGGATCTGGGAGCCTGAGCTTTGTTCTCCAGCAGTGCCCATGCCTAGTGATTTGACTTTGGACAAATCCTTTAGTCTCCTTAGAGAATGAGGGGATTAGCTGAGATGATCTTTTAGGTCCTTTATAGATCTAAATGTCTGTCCTTCCATTAAAAGAAAAAAGACATCACTGTTATCACAACTATTACTTGTCTTATTCACATAAATAATAATGATATAGTGACATTGTTCTAATGTCCCTTAAATGTTAATAAATATTTTTAAAATTGGCTATACAAGTGTAATGAATAATGACCTAAGTCCTTGATTTTATTAATCAATAAAATATATTTAAAAAAAAAAAATCTCCATTGTAGTGACCCTCCAACTATAACTTGCAATTTGATTTTATTTAATATATTCAAAATCTCCATTGTAGAGACCGTCCAAATATAACTTGTAATTTACAAGTCTTTTTCTAAAAAGCCAAGTGAGTTATTGTGAAAATGTTCCCTGAATTTTCTCTTGTAGCCACTGGCAAATGAAATGGTCTGTTTATGTCTTTAAATCATACTGCTTCTCTTTTAAAAATATTTTTTAAATCTATAAACTAGTAGTATTGGACTTAATACAAAAAAATTCTGAAATTGTGGGGTGTTTGTAAATGTGAATTACTTTAAAGGTGATTACAAAAAGTAAATGTGATTGTGCAAATCTTAATTAAGATTAAATATTTGGAAAAAAAGGATTAAATATTTGTTTGCCTATATATAAAAATGCAAGTGCACATATTTTAATCCTTACTAAAAGATACATTTGTAGACTAATGTATATATTTTATATATGCAAAAACAGCTTTGCTTGTAATCATTTTAAATATTAACGTTCCTTTGACTTCCTTAAAGACTTGCATGTTACTCCTTACCCTTTAGTTCTGTTTTCTGCTTTAAAAGTTCTTCATGGCCAAAGGCATGAGACTGACTCTAGCGTAGGCAGGCTTATGATTTAGGAATAGCTGTATCCCTCAGAGAACTCGCAGCCAGCATTTGGACCACCCAGTTATTAAATATTGACTTTGACTTGTTCCTTTATTCACCTAGGTGTGTCTCTGTCTTCTGTGGCTTCTGAAAGTGACTATGCTATCCCCCCAGATGCTTACTCCACAGACACCGAGTGCTCGCAGCCGAGAGAATCATTGATTGGCTGCTTCCTACATGCAGGGTAGACTTCCTCCTATGGGTCGGGCCCTCAACCCGGCCTGTGCCCTGACCAGGAATCAAACCTCGACCTCCTGGTTCCTAGGTCAGTGCCCAGCCAGCTGAGCAGTGCTTGCTATTTGGAACTGAATTCCTCAAACTAGAATTCAAACTCCTGGTTGATTTTCTTCCGTGATGTTATTAATTAAAACATTTCTTATTATGGCTACTATACAGGTAATCACTTTGCTCTTGGTTTTCTTCCTTTCATACAGAGCGATGTAATTAGAAAACCCCACGGCCATATTGAACTTAGTGCATCCTGCAGTATTTTAAGAGGAGACAACAGACAAACAGTCCAGGTACTTTTTTAAAAAATATATTTTATTGGTTTTCACGGAGAGGAAGGGAAAGGGATAGAGAGTTAGAAACATCAATGAGAGAGGAACATCAATCAGCTGCCTCCTGCACACTCCCTACTGGGGATGTGCCCGCAACCAAGGTACATGCCCTTGGCCGGAATCGAACCTGGGACCTTTCAGTCCACAGGCCGACGCTCTATCCACTGAGCCAAACCAGTTAGGGCCCAGGTACTTTTTTAAAAACTATGTTTTTGTATCATGCAAAACTTAATTCTCAATTATTCAAACTAATAAAGAGGAGATTGGATATTCACTATTTTGTAAAAATTTACTTTGGGTTTAGCTTGATGACTCAAAATTTATGAAACCATAATATAAGCTAAGTTTGTGTTGAGTAACTCTCCACTACTTCATTTACCCTTTATCACTTATACTGTTCTTTCCCTGTACTTAGTCTCCCAGCTATTCTCAGCTCTCAAACTGTCTAGCTATTTTAGGGGACGGTTATCAGATAAATGAAGATGTTAGTAGTTTAATGTATATTAAATTCAGGAGTGTTTGTATTTTAATACAGAACCAGAAAGTGACAGTTCTGTGAACTTCAGATGCTGTTGACACCTAAATAGGAAGGATATTGGTGAGCAGTGGGGCTGTATTAGTTCCCACTAAGTCACACCATAGCGGAGCCACTGACCATTTCACTCACAAATAGGCCAGTCGTGACAGAAACCTGTTACATTTAAGACGTAGGCTGTTGAGATAGTTTGGTATATGTGATTTAAATTCAGACACTTTGAAATGCCTTTAATAATCATTATTATGTTGCTCCTCGAGAGGGCAGACTTCAACATTTATTAGAAACTTACTTTATCAGTGTTTCCAGTGGATAATACCTGAGAACTGTCCCAAAATGTAGAAAGGAGAATCGTGGAAGCTTTGTCTTGGAGCATGGCAGATAAAGGTCGTTTGTAAGCTTCCTAAATATCTGGAAAATTTGACGTTTGGTTAATTTGAGTCTGAAAAATTGCAAGTTCATAATGTCTGATCACATGTTAGTTCCAAGAACTTATATGCAAGATTTTATTTTATTTATAATTGATTGAATGATTTCAGAGTGAAAGGGAGAGGGAGAGAGAGAGAGAGAAACATCAGTGATGAGAGAATCATTGATCGGCTGCCTCCTGCATGCCCCCTACTGGGGATCGAGCCTGCAACCCAGGCATGTGCCCTTGATCAGAATTGAACCCAGGACCCTTCAGTCCACAGGCCGACACTCTATCCACTGAGCCAAACCCCTAGGGCGATTTTTTTCATTTCTATAACAACTCCTGGCTTGGTTAAAAATGTATTATTTTAGTACAGTCTCCAGTCATTCTGCTCCTCACTTCAACAACCAGGAGCCTATAGCACATTTAAAGGAAAATGTATTGAGTAAACAAGATAAATCATGACCTAAAATTTTAATACTATGAAAAATTTAAAGTAAACTTCAGTTGGAAAAAAAAATTCAACGGAATGTTAATCACTGTAATTCTCACAGAGTGGTGAAAATATGCTAAATTACTTATGGAGTCATTTATTTCCCACCTAGGATTCAAGGTTTAGCATGTTTTTTCCATGTTAAGTAGCAATGTTTAAAGAATGGACAAGGAAATGCAAATAAGCCCAAATCTCCAGCGTTTCCTTTCCTGTCTCTTTCTCATCCCATTCCAGTTGACCACTGAAAAGCACACATACTATCTGACTGCAGATTCTCCCAATATATTGGAGGAATGGATTAAGGTGTTACAGAATGTTCTTCGAGTACAAGCTGCCAACCCACTTTCCCTGCAGCCTGAGGGCAAACCAACGGTGAAGGGCCTGCTCACGAAGGTAGGAGGCCTCTGTGTGCCTGGCAGGGTCCCACTGGTCGGGAATAGTGGGTGTCAGAGAAAATACATTGAATATTTATGTTATCTTGGGGTGGGGAAGGGTATTTTAAATAGAATGCCAAAGACCAAAACCATAAAGAGGAAAAATGACAAACTTGACTACTATACATGAAAATCTAAATATTCTTACTCTCAAAAATTCTCTAGGCAGAATTTTTTAAAAGGTATTTGAAATGGCTGATAAACAAGCTTTTTCTAATCAGTAAGTAAAGGGTACCAATGGGGGAAGGAGCAAAGGACACGAAGGGAAAGAAGCAGAGCTGGGAGAGGTCAGATGAAATACACATGCTCCATAAGCATGTGGAAAGACATTTTACTCTCGCTAGTAATGTTCTTTAAAAAGCACAACTTGAAATCATAGGTATTTTTAAAAATCTGGTCAAAGGGGGACATTTTTAACATTATGAAACGCAGTATTGACACAAATTGAGAAATCTGCTAGGGAGAGAATTACTCTAGAAGGCAATTTGGCAATGTCTTGGCCAAACTGTTTATTCAATAAATATTTTTGAAAGAACAAATGAATGAATGAATATTAAATATTTTAAAAACGTATATACATACGCTTTGATTCAGTAATCTCAGTCTAAGCAATTTATGCTCAGGAAATGGTCTTAGTTTGTAAAAGATTTAAGTATAAGGATGTTCATCACAGATAGATGTTCTCTATTAAAAAGAAAGAGATATGATTAGCATATACTGCAATGCAGTTCTTAAGAGTAGAGTTTGATGAGTTTTTTTGTTTGTTTTTTAATATATTTTATTGATTTTTTGGAGAGAGGAAGGGAGAGGGATAGAGAGTTAGAAACATCAATTAGAGAGAAACATCAATTCAGCTTCCTCCTGCACACTCCCCACTGGGGATGTGCCCGCAACCAAGGTACATGCCGTTGACTGGAATCGAACCTGGGACCCTTCAGTCTGCAGGCCGATGCTCTATCCGCTGAGTTAGGGCAGAGTTTGATGAGTTTTGACAGATGTTTACTGTCTCTATCAAGATATAGATAGAACATTTCCATTACCCCAGAAAGATTACTTGCATGGCATAGTTTATATTAAAGAAAACTTGGGATCAACATAGATGCAGAGTAGGGGGTAGCTTAAATAAATATGTATTTAATCAGATAATGCTTTACTCTGTAGTCATTTTAATTGTTAAGAATATTTAATGTTACGGAAATATGATGTGTTGGGTGATAAAACAAGTAGAGTGCAGAATTATATTCACTCAGAATGTGTATAATGCTTTAAAGCACAACTTTTGTTAAACATATTCATAGAAAAGAAGGCAGCTGTGCTTACCACCAATGCTGCATGGGAAGTGTACCAATATATATGGAATACGTGATTTTATTTTATTTTTATTTAGTTCTGTTTTCTAACTTTATAATGAGTCAGTATTGATTTATGCTAAAATATTATTTAATTTTTAAAATTTCAATTGGTTTTGACGGATATTTACTATCCCTTTTAGAGAAATATAATAAAGTTTTTACACATAACATATTATACCAAAAATAATCTCTACAACCATTCTTTATCCATGTGCTTTGTTTATGTAAGAGGTGAAAACTTTAGATGTTGTGATGAGCTATGTAATCTATACTTAATATTAATATGGGAGTGTAGGTGGGTGTTATTCAGTAATATTTGCAAAGACTGACCAGCTATTCCAAAAGTAACAGAAAAAAATCAATACATTCAACCAAGAAATGAATGACCTGTGTGTTTTGTCTTCAAATATTACATTACCATAAAAATGCTTTTTCAGTTACTGATGGGTTAGAAAATTCTCTGGTACTGTGAAAATATACACTGAGTGGCCAGATTATTATGACTACCCCATCAATACAATGAAGTGAATTAGTTATGCAAATAATACTAATAAAACCTTGAGAGTATTTGCTTAGGAAGTTTTCAATATTCAGTATTTTTGGAAGTGTCAATGAAATACTGATGGGGTGGTCATAATAATCTGGCCACTCAGTGTATATCTTCCAGTGAACACAGTGCTACTTTAAATCGCATTCTTATTTTAATTCATAATGGCTGGATGTCCTCCTTTATCAAGGACCATGTATAGCAAGCCCTTAGAATTTAATATGATTCCATGGCCAAGGATTTATTACTTACCCAAAATTAGTTTGTGTTTTTTTGTTGTTGTTTGTCTGTTTTAATCAGCATGGCTTATTAATTTATCAACATGGTTGATTAATTTTTGCTCATATTACATTTCTGCTGTTCTCTGCTTCCCATTTCACAGTTGCATTTTAAATAAGTAAAAGGTGATGTGATTAGCTGATGACCAAACCATTATGGTTCATAGACAGGATGCTAAGTAGGTTTTCTTCCTACTAGTTATGAATCCTTGTCCACCCCCATATTTTCACTCTCAGAACCTTGTAACAGAAAACCATCCCTCAGCTATTCTTAGTGACTTGTTCTGAGCTCACATTCAGGCTACAGTTTGAGATGCTGTGGAGCAGCTTTGAGTACCTTAGAAGGGAACAGGTTTTTCCAAGTTGTCACATTGCTATTAAGTACAGGAATATGTAGGTAGATATTAAGAGCTTGACTGATTTGATTCTGGATATTCACTCTTGAAACTTCTTTTACTGCTTGGGACAAAATTTTTTTTTACATAATAATTCATTTATTTAAAAAAAATTAGCCCAGCCAGCATGGCTCAATGGTTGACTATCAACCTATGAACCAGGAGGTAATGGTTCGATTCCCGTTCAGGGCACATGCCTAGGTTGTGGGCTGGATCCCCAGTGTGGGGTGTGTAGAAGGCAGCCATCAATGATTCTCTCTCATCATTGATGTTTCTATCTCTCTCTCCCTCTCTGAAATCAATAAAAAATATATTTTTAAAAAAGCAAATGGAGAAAAATGTTGTTGGGTGGATTTGTCAGAGCCATAGGAATACAATGTAATCCCTGGTCTTGGTGCAGGAGCTATTTTATGATCAAACACAGGATCCAAGGTTGGTGAGAAGGAAGCAGGGGGGACTGGTAAACTGGACTAAAATGGGAGGGTTAGGGGGCTCGGTTTTGAATGAAGTCAAAGAATTGGAGTGGTGTGAGTAAGGAGAGAGGGAGGTGGAGGGAGGTTGAGATCAGAGGGTAGAGTGTAAATTTCAGAAGCGGAATTCACTAGGTGTGGCTGAGGGGATGGATGGTGAAAATGGAGGGATAGCAGATGAAGAGAGCAAGGAACTGAGGGTTAAGGATATAGAGAGGCGGTGTAGCAGGGGCTAAGGCAAGAATATGGGCATAAATCCTGGCTGTGACACTTGCCACTGTGTGACCGTGACTTACAGGCTCTGTGCCTTCGCATCCTCATTTGTAAAGTGGGGATAATAGTGCCAACCTCACGGGGTGTTGGAGGAAGGATTAAATGAATTATTTTAGCAGGTAACGTTCTTTAGAACAGTGACTGACACATATAAACTGTTTATATGTGCCACCTCCCTCTACTTCCCTCTCTCCTTACACCACTCTTACTACCACAAGAGCTTCACCTAGTTACTGAAGTCAGCAAGGCTGGTGTCAGGATTTGTAGTGGACAAGGCTACAGGTGTGAGAATACAGGAGAAGAGAGGAGACCAGGGGAGCTTATGTGTGTGGTGACAAAGGCTCACCGGGATAGGATTCACTGTTTGTCTTCAAAGTTTCAAGCAGAACTGATAGGAAGTATCTTTGTTATGGATGCAAGGTACACTGAAAAATGATTCTTTCAATTATTTTGTTTCCCCAAAGCCCTGCGTTTTGAGATTGCCTTTCCATTTTCATGAGGATTCTCCTAGTGTAATTTGCTTTATGAGTTTTTCAGAGTAAGTCAGAGTTTTAAGGTAAACTAATATTACTCGATCTACATATAAAGATAGACTATGGCTTTAAACAGAGCATTTATAGTGAATTGGCAAAGGCCTTCATTAATTTGTAGTTCTTCAATAGTACCCATTGTTCTGTTTTAAAGATATATCATCTCAAAAGGATATGCTCTGCAGCCTGATGCATTATACTCCAGTTATGATGAGTCTCTCTCTCTTTTTTGTTTTTTTGGAGTTTGTTTAAAAGAAGAAGAAGAAGAAAAAACACAACCCTGCATAACACAAACCATTTAAAACTTCCAGGATATTTGTCCTCAAATATATGTTTCTAAATTTAATTAAACTGAAACACGTCTTGCCAAATAAAACATTTGTTTTTGTTTTTCCTCAAGCACCCTTTTAAATCCTTCAAACTGTGAGATGGCGGAGTTGTTTGCTTAAACCGTAACTTTGAAAGCCCAGAGGCTGGCTGCTTGCGGGTTTAAATGAAACATGTGTTTTACTTCTTATGCATAGGGAGGAAGGAAGCATTTATTGAGTAACTACTATTCTGCTTTGTTGACATTTTCTCCTCTGCTCATCGCAGCGGCCCAATGAGGTGTCCAGTAATCCCATGTTACCCACAGAAGCCAAGAGTCAGTCGCCTGAGGACACCATCTGGCACGCGGTAGAACTGGACTTTAAACCTTGGTCTATTTGACCTCAAAATTCAGGCCTTTTCACTGTAGTGACTTGCCTACTGTAAAAATCTATTGTGTCAATAATTTATATCCTTCCCAATGAGTTACTATCAGAACAGTCCATTTAAATATAAGTCATTGCAAAGGTCCTGCAAAAAAATATACCCACACCCTACCCTCACCTCCTACCCTTCCCCATGACCTCTGTCCTCACTTGCTCAGTCTCAGACACATTTCTAACCTAGGGTGTGAACCTAGAGAGCTATGGGGTTACTGGACATCTATGACATATGAAAACTATTAAATATACGTACTTTTGAAACCAGCATCTTGTTTTATCCATCTTTGAATCCTCAATCCCAGGCAGAGTACTTGACATATAGCAAACATTTGTTAAGTGTTGAATGATGAGCACAAAAGCAAAACATGTCACACCACTACAGGTACATTTTAAAACACATTTGATAGTCTAGTTGGAATATCACTTACACTTTAAGCAAACTGGATACCTATACAGCTTCAAATAGAGTGTGTATGCCATACTTTCCTTTAAGGTGTTAGAGTTCTGAGCTGGCTACATTCATAATTTGCTGGAATATAATTTCAGGTGAAGCATGGCTACTCCAAGAGAGTCTGGTGTACACTAGTAGGAAAAACGTTATATTATTTTCGCAGTCAAGAAGATAAGGTATGTATGTATTTTTGATATGCTAATTAGAGGAATGTTCTGTTTTTTATGTCTTGAGTTTTTTCTATTACTCTTCGGTCGCTGGCTAAAAGTTTAGACTTTTTTGATAAGGTTGAAATTTTGCATAAAATTTATTATTGAGGTAATTATATACCTACAAGGGTCTTGATTCTTAACTATACGTTTTGACAACTTTTAATTAACGCATCTTTTTCTTAGAAGAGAAAGACCTTTCTCTACCTCACTCCCAACCATCGATTTCTTGTATGTCGAGGTCTGACAGACTAAATAAGATTGAGTGAAGGGAACAACAAACTAGGGAAGAAGAGCAGGGAGGAAAAGGAATCCAGCCCTCGAATCCCTCCATACCATTTACCTACCCATTCATCTACCTATTTATGTCCTGTTTATTCATTTTTAAATAATCTCCTTCCAAAAAGAACTTGAGTTATATTCACCTTCTGAGTAAAAATATAGGATATCTACTCCATGTCACCTCTGGGTTACTGAAGCTATAAAAACTGAACCAACATGGGCCAAGAATGCTCACATAAAATAAAGATGCCAGTGGCACAGAACAGCGGCTTGTGACCAATTACTGCGTTAATGAGACTGAACTTCTTGGTCCAGTGACCACATGGGTCAGTTGGTTTTTCTCTGTTCCATTTGCACAGATTGCACGCTCCGTTCAGAGCAACTGCGTTTAAAATGCATGCCATTATTTCCAGTGTTGCTCATAGATGGGAATTAATGCAGTGCAGCCATTAAACATGATACTTCTGAAGTAAAGTAGGAAATGCTCACATAAATGCTACGTGAATAAGCACAATTCAAAATTATATATTTAGTATAATCCCAACTGAATTTTAAGTCAGGAAAATAGAAGCCACTCTGTGTATTCCAGGTATGACATCATCATTGATGTTTCTATATCTCTCCCTTCCTTGCTCTGAAATGAACAGTAGGAGATAAGATCTGAGACATCACAGGGATCAAATCCCAGGGGGCCTATCATAGTAAGGACTTTGGCTTTTACTCCAAGTAAGATGAGAGGCCATTGGAGTTAGAACATTGACATGATCTAACTTATGACTAATGGAACACTCTGGTAGCTGTCCGAGGGAATGAGGAGGAGACTAGTTAGGGGGCTATTACAGTAATCCAGGTGAAGGATGACTGTGGTTAACGGTGGCAGTGGAGGTGTGAGAAGTGACCAGACTCTGAATATATTCTGAAAAGCTTGCTGACTGGAGTTGTTCACTGAAAAGGTATGGGATAGAAGAGAAAGAATAGAGTCAGGAACGATGCCAAGGTGTTTGGCGTAAGCAGCTGGAAAGATGAAGTTACCAACAACTGAGATGGGGGACACTGCCCAGGGCAGGTTGTGGGAGAGGACTTACCAAATTAAGTTTGAGATACTCTTAGACGTCTAAGTACAACTAGCCAGTCTGGCGTTATAAATGCAGGGGTAGCTAATATATGCTGGTACTAAAGCCATGAGCGTGGATGAGATCACCCATGTGAATGTGGATGAAAAGGGTCCGAGCACTGAGCCTGGGCTGAGCATGAACATGTACGATGGTAAATGTTCTTCTGGGATCAGAATGAATATTTTCAGATTGCAGTTGCAAACCTGATCAGACAGTTTAGAAGCTGCAAATCAGAAGCAGACTGTATTTCTCTGGAATAAATGTACTTAATTAAAGCAAAAGTTTTAGAACAAATAGGCTGGATATTCAACACAAAAGATATAATTGTTTTTGTCAACAAAAGAGTAGGTAAATTTAAATATGCATCAGTTTTTAGAAGCTTTCTTACCCTTAAATTAAGAAATCATAGCATTGTTTTGTATTATATTATGTCTGTTAATACTAGTAAATAACCTCTCAGAACACTACTCATTTTATTGCAGTTTAAAATGTTAATCACACTTCTTTGTATCAGCTACCTAATTGTGTTACTTTTTCTATTGAGACTATGACCACTCTTGTCCTTTTGATCCAGTATCTTAATCGAATCAATTTTGGGGAGGGGGTGGGAGTCAAGTGAATGTTTTGACTGAGTTACATAATTGCTTGACTAAAAGTAAAGTAGCTTCTTGCTTTTTCCAACAAAAGGTAAATGCCTAATATTCAAATTGTTCTTTCATATTGCAATTGGGTATTTTGGTGGTGACTACTACTTTCATAACTACGGATAATCCAATTGCCTTTAGGCATTCATTTAAGAAAAGGTATGCTTTATAAAGGTAAGAATGAGAAGGAATATGAAAAATTTTACTAGGAAAAGATTTAGAAAGTGCCTTCCCCACAATTACTAATATTTACTTTAGTTGCCTTTAGGTCAGATCAAACTCTGGGAGGCTAAAGTTGAAGAGGTTGACAGATCCTGTGATTCCGATGAAGATTATGAAGCCAGTGGGCGCAGTCTGTTGTCCACACATTACACCATCGTGATCCACCCCAAAGACCAAGGTCCCACTTACCTCCTGATTGGGTCCAAGCATGAAAAGGTATGTAAGGACTTAATGGTTGATTTAGAATGATGTAGATTAATGTTATTAACAACTGCTAATGATTTTTCAAATCATTTTCATGGAAACAAGGAAGAAAACGTTGCTAAAGACTTTCAGCTCTATTTACAGAGATTCTTTACATCCCTGGAAACAAGCCTTGTTTAAATGTGTCATTTTTCAATCGTATTGATAAAAGTGATCTCCAGTTGAAATTAGTGCAGGTGTAGGATAAAGGAACATTATGTTCAAAATGTGAATGTCTCAGACTGGTTTTTTTGGGGGGTGAATCTTAAGGCCTCCATCCTTATAATTTTGACTCATTTTCAACAAAATTTTGGTTTAAATAAAATTGAAAGTCAACTATTATTATATATGTAGTCACATATGAAAATATAAAAGTTAATATAATAAAAAAATAAAAGAGGCATCACAATGAATGGGGAAGTAATGGATTATTCAATATATAATATTTTGTGTTCATTATATATTGAGGAAATTGGCTATCTAGGAAAACATGTTTAGTTTGTCATCTCACACATATAGTAAAATAATTTCCAGATGAATTTAAAGAGTTAAATGAAACAATTTTTTAAAAGACCCTTTCTCTGATCTTGGAATAGAAAGTACTTTCTAAAAAAGAAAAAGAAAGGCAATGTAAGAAACACAGTAGAAATGGATGATAGATTTGACTACATAAAATTGGAACAAAAGTGGCAAGAACAGGCATCTTTGCCTTGTTCCAGATCTTAGAGAAAAAGCTTTCCATTTTTTCACCATTGAGTATGATATTATCTGTGGCCTTTTCTTATATGGCCCTTATCGTATTGAGGTAAGTTTGTTCTCGGTATTATTTTCTTATTTAAATTTTCTGGATTTCCTAAGTATTTTGTATGAGTTATTTGTATGCATTGGGAGTCAGATTTTAAATGTGGTAGAATTTATTGTATTTCTTAAAGGAATATTAACTGGTTGTATTTATTCTAGTCTCTTAACATTATATTACTTTAATTTTATCATGTTTTTCTAAGCAACATCTATAGAACAGTGGGAAAAGTACTATGAGCACAATTCAAGTGACCCTACTTCAGAACTGTTTGAATACGTGGCTTGCTTTTAATTATTATTTAAAAATTAAAGAGGTTTTGTTTTTTTTAATGAAGTTTTCCATTGTTTATGCAAGTTGTTGGTTTTTTTCCCTTAAATCGCCAAAAATTATATACTGGTTAACATTTCTATTAATATGTTTTGTTTTTAAGGACACTTGGCTTTATCACCTGACCGTTGCAGCTGGAAGTAACACTGTAAATGTTGGATCTGAATTTGAACAACTCGTTTGTAAATTGCTAAATATCGAAGGGGAACCTTGTAAGTTCATAACGTATAAGGCTCTCTGGTTTATGAAATGCACCCAAACCCCCTTAGCCTAATGGAGTTTTACTTTGTAAGTTCCTTTCCCTGCAAGCTACCCACCATTTCCCTGGCTTTGCTTGTCATGCGCCAGGATTCTCACTGTGGTTCCTAGACTCCAGGGACACCATCATTCCCCCAAACTCCACGTCCTGTGACACCTCTGCCTTTGCTGACAATACCCCTCTGCCTGAAATGCCCCCCTTCCTCACATTCCTCACGAACCTGATAAAATCCTGCCTACCGCAGAAGCTCCCCGCACACCCCCCCCCCAGCCCACTCCAGCTCAGCATCTGGCTCATAAAAGGTTCTGAATAAGTGTTAAAATTACGTTCCAGCGCACTTTGCCTTTTAACTACTTCATAGCATTTGTTCCTTTGCATTGAAATTATTTTTTATGGCTCAGGTTTCCCCATTGAGAGTCTAGTAGACTCTGTGTTATGCTTTACTTAATGGCAGAGATCACGTTTTATTTTGAGTACCCAGCATAGGAATTTAATAAATGTTGATGTTAAGAATGACTTCAAGTTTTTCTTTATCATTCTATCTCCTCCTACTTGGTTTCTCCTTTCGAGATCTTTCTGCAGCTCCTTCTCATGTATAATCATCTCCCCACCTGGGTCCCCAATCTTTAGCACATCTGAGCAACATCATAGTGCCCTGGTAGACTTGTTTCCGCCAAGAATATTAAGACCAAAGTCTTGTAGATTTAATTTCTCCAAAACAGACATGAGAATCCCCCATGGCCAGGAAAATGAAATGAAATAATGTTGCCAAAGCTTTTTTCATGACCTTTATTGACAAAGTTGTGAGCCAGGCCACGTTAGCTAATTTCTATAAAGGGCTAATAAATGGGAGGCCAAAATAACTGATTCTTTCTGTTTTCTAATTGTATCTTACCCTGCGTTTAGCCTCTCAGATATGGAGACATCCTACTTTGTGTCACAGCAAGGAAGGGATTGTTTCCCCTCTGACAACCCTGCCTTCTGAAGCTCTACAGACAGAGGCTATTAAACTATTTAAGGTAAAAATTTATATGGCGTTATATGTTATTAACATTTTAATTTGAAAAAGTAAAAATAAACAATTTAGGTATGTAAAGTTTCACTTTTCCCAAGAAAATTCAAAATGTGGTTATTGTTACTAAGAAAGTCTACTGAAATAAAATGAGGTGAATTTAATATGCTTTCCAAGTGAGAATCTGGGACTTATTGAAATAAACTGTGTGTGGTTTGGGCAATGTGAAACACGTAAGATCAGAAGAATCATTTCCCATTCACCTCTCAAGTGGAGGGATTTCTCACATCACATCTAACCGGTGTTGGGAGAGAGTCAGCACCCGTCTTCTCCAGTGCTACTCTCAAATTCTTATCATTCAGCTTCTATTAGAAACCCCTGAGCACTTGAAACTTGTCATTCAACTATATCACTCTTATCCCATCTCTGTCATTAATCAGCTTCTGATAACTTTTCAAATTTCATTAAGGATTTTGGCTCCCAACTCACGCTCTTTCTGCCTCAGATCTTGCCATTATGCTGAATGACCTCATTATTACTTGATGCACCAATGCAATGCTCTAAAATTCCTGACCTTCTTAATGCCTGTAAGCTTCACCTCTAGTCTATTTCACCTTCCCGTTCTCCATGTCCACACCCTGACCTCTCCGTTACTTAGAAGTACACCACCTCTAAAAGTTTAAATTCTAATATCTCTTTCTTTAACCATATTCTCTTAGCCTGTGAGCTCTCTTATTTTCTTACTCTTCCATTTTTTATTCCTCACTAAGATCTTTGTTTGGAGCCATTTATTTTCTTGGAGATCAAGAGAGAGCATGGTAACTTCCTCCTGGCTGTTCTTCCTTCTTATTCAAGCCTAGATTACTTTCATTAATACTCATAGTTCCTAGGGACCCATAATTCCATGAACTTTCCAGCTAAACCCCAACCTAGATCAGTGCTGCTTTCTTGTCTGCTGCCATGTTAATCACATGTGCACTGCTAGAGAACATTAAACACCCCAGTGGACTGGAGCCAATGTAAACCTGTGGTATTCATTCCTCACGGCCGACTATCTCTCCTTCTGCTTGTCTTTGGTCACATTCGCCCTCAAACTTCCCCATCAATAATTAATGTTCCTCACAACAAACTTACCTTCTATTTATTAAGAAAATTAGATGGCATCGGTCATGAACACCTCAAATCTCTTTCCCCAGCAGACATTATTTATCTATTTTCTCCTTCATTCCTCCAGTTTCCAAATATAGTATAACTTCTATGGATTCAGATGTCAACTCTACACCAGGAGGTTGGTACTTCATTCTCCCTTAGTCTCTTAGAGTCTCAGCTTTTGTGTTTCTTTTGGCTTCTTCTTGCCTACATTCCTCCCATCTCAATAAAGTCATCTGCTTATTAGATAATATCAAAGAATTATTGTTAGTTTGGGGGGTATGATATAACATGGTGGTTATGGGGGGAAATTTATCAATTGTACATCCATACTGAAGTATTCATTGGTAAAAATCATGATATATATATATATACACACACACACAGACACACACACACATATACACATACACACTCCAGAAAAAAAAGTAGAGTGGAGGTTGAATGAAACAAGTTTAGCAAAATGCTAATAATTGTTGTTGCTTGATGATGAGTGCATGAGTAATAATTATACTATTCTCTCTACTTTTGTTTATGTTTTAATATTACATTTAATAATGGAACATTTTTTAAAACCCACCCATAGAATACACAACTACTGAAAACAAGAAAGACTCTACACAAATATATTTGAAAATCTGAATGATGTGATTGACTTTATAATAAAATACAAATGGCCAAAACTAAATCCACATGAGAATGAAAATGTAAACAGGAAAATTTACCAAACTTTTAAAGTGTAGGTAATTTCAGTTCATAGAAAAAGAAGGAAATTTCCCAAATTCTGGTGTGTGTGTGTGTGTTTTGTTTACTCTTTATTTTGGAAAATTTCAAACATATGAGTAGAGAAAATATGAGGTCCAAGGTACTCATCACTCAGCTCCATAGCACCAACACATGGCCATTTTTGTTTCAGTCTCCCTTCCCCACTGCTTCCCAACATTGGAATATTTAAAGCCGTTCTCAATGGTCATATCACCAGATTCTCTTTGCGAAGTATTACTTGGAACCAAACCCCAGAAACAGTTGTACAAAACAGAGCATTTCGTGCAAAAACTAGTAAAATATTAATAAACAGAATCCAGCATCATATTACAAGAATACTCTATCATGACTAAAAGATATTTGTTACAGGAAATAAAGGATGTCTATATATTAGAAATCTACTAATATTATTTATGATTGTGTAGACAATCATCTCTATAAATGCTAAAAACACATTTGACAAGTTTAACGTTCATAAAATAGTGATACTTTCTTAACATGATAAAAGTTAATGGTGGAAATCTTTTTTCATTGATCATTTTATGATGAAGTTCTTTGGCAGCAATGCTTTAGGTTAGAGGCTGAATTTATTTGATCATATCTGTTCTTAGAAGAGATAACGACTACCTATTGTATAATGACACAATATTAAAACCATCCATTGGTGTTTATGAACATTTTAATGTTTCTTAGTAGTTACTATGTTTATTTAATCAGATTTGAAATCCATTCATGCATTAAACTTTTGCTTTGTCGCTCTATGCTGTGTAGAGAATAAAAAAGATAAATAAAATAAGTCACAGTTTCTGTCCTTATGAAGCTTATAGGGGACAGGAGATGATTAATGTTTTGTATACCCTTAAAATGAATGCATACTCTGCTCTTAGATGGAGTGTTCTGTTAAGTGTCAATTAATTCAAGTTGGTTGATAGTATTATTCAAGTTTTCTAAATCCTTACTGATTTTCCATCTGCTTGTTTTCTCAATTATTGAGAGAGGAGTATTTGGAATCTCCAACTATAATAGTGCATTTATCTATTTCTCCTTACGGTCCTGTCAGTTTTTGCTTCATATATTTTATTAAGCACATAATCATTTAAAATTGTTATGTCTTCTAAATGAATGCATACTCTGCTCTTAGATGGAGTGTTCTGTTAAGTGTCAATTAATTCAAGTTGGTTGATAGTATTATTCAAGTTTTCTAAATCCTTACTGATTTTCCATCTGCTTGTTTTCTCAATTATTGAGAGAGGAGTATTTGGAATCTCCAACTATAATAGTGCATTTATCTATTTCTCCTTACGGTCCTGTCAGTTTTTGCTTCATATATTTTATTAAGCACGTAATCATTTAAAATTGTTATGTCTTCTAGATGAACTGGCTCCTTTATTATTATAAAGTGACCCTCTTTATCTCTGTCAGAATTCCTGGCTCTGAAATACACTTTGTCGGCTATTAATGTAGCCACTCTGGATTGCTTTTGATTAGTGTTACCATAATATGTCTTCTTCCATCCATTTGGGGGCAAAACCATTGTTAAGAAGAGAATCAACATAATTCACGCAGAATACCGAATCATTCCTCACCTTGACTGTACCTTTTTCTTAATCCAGACCTGCCAGCTTTTTATCAATGCCGCAGTTGACTCCCCTGCAATTGATTACCACGTATCGCTAGCCCAGAGTGCTTTGCAGATCTGCCTGACACATCCTGAGCTACAGAATGAAATTTGCTGTCAGCTCATTAAACAGACAAGACGGAGACAGCCACAGAGCCAACCAGGACCATTGCAGGTATATAGTGACACACATACACGCAATTTAAAATGAGGTTGCTGTCTTGATTGTAAGAATGATGCATATTCACTGTAGACATTGGAAAATACAAAAAGCGTGAAAAGGAAAAATAGCTATTCATGTTTTGATGTATATCCTTTCAGTTTATTTACATGTTTCTGTAGAAATGTATGTGTATGTGTTTATATGCTCTCACTTTTTTCACATTACTAGGGTTACAGCGTGCATACTAATTTTTTAAAACTATAGAACATAATCATTTTTTCCCCTATAGTCTGCAACATTCTTCAAAACATTAATGATTACATTAATACCAATTACTATCCATGTAGGTTTTTCCAATTCTTTTTCTTATAATAAATAACTGTGCGGTATATGTCTTTGAACCTAATTCTTGTGTACAAGTCCAGTGAATTGTGCACAGGTCTCCTCCTCCTTTTTAATATAACAGTTTAAAAAATATTGAAGCTATACTTGCTTAATGGAAAAAAATAAAATAATACAGAACAGAGCAAAGGTAAAGGAAAAGTCACATATAATCCATATTACCTAATCTCTGTTATTTCTATATTTGTCCCTTATATATGTATATATAGGTATGTGTGGGTATTTTGGTTTTGTTTTGGGGTATATGACTTTTTACTATTTTTCAATCTGCCCTTTCTCAAAGCCATTGCTTCTATTTCCTTGAATGAGTAAATACATAAATGGACCAAAAAGGAGCAATGTTCCTAATCTTTGATGTCAAAAGGATTATTATATATCCACATGTCTTTTAGTATCTCAGTTGTAGACAACTATATACATAACTAGGTGGATTATGGATCTGACCCAATGGGGCCTTTTCAGTGTTTTTATGGATTATAATTGCTCTGAGAAGATAATCTATATGTGGAAGAAGCAAACACATTTGGGCTACAAACTACTAAACTAAATAAAACCTTGAAAACCCTAATCTATATGTGGAAGAAGCAAACACATTTGGGGTCAAGAAAGGCTACAAACTATTAAACTAAATAAAACCTTGAAAACCAAAAAAAAGAAAAAGGAAGAAAGACTATCAACTTCTGTCCGTCACACTGGTTCTGACTTGGATCTCTGACTGCCGCGCGGCGTCTAACCTAACGCTGTTTCTCTTCGCCAGGCCTGGCAGCTCTTGGCGCTCTGTGTTGGGCTCTTCCTTCCCCATCATCCTTTCCTGTGGCTTCTCAGGCTCCACCTTAAGAGGAATGCAGATTCCAGGTGCGCAGAAAACTAGCCAGCTGAAGCGTTTATGTGGCCTCTGAAAGTCTACAACAAATCCTAAGTATTTAGTAACCTGCCAGGTAGAGAATGTGTGGAACAAATGTTGGTACAGAGAACCTTTGGTTACCATTTACGTGGAGCTTGAGAAATATTTCCTTTATTATGTTAAATCTCTCATGGAAGATTGCAGTGAGCGCTTGAAACCTGATAAAGACTATTTTTAAGTGAAAAGTCTGTGTGTATTTCAAGGATGAATGACTTAGCATTTGTTATCGTTATAACAGCAACTACTTCGCTTCCTTAGTTTTCCCTATCACTGTTTTTCTCCACATTGAATTGTTTTATGTGGAAAATGCCCCTGATGGTTTTCCCTGTGGGTATTCGAATTACTTCAGAATTTTTATTTCCTGGAAAAAAGACATTTACAATCCAACTGTCACAATGGCTTTTTACTTTGGGACCCAAGGCAGCCAGCCAAGGGTTATCAGGATCATGTTGTCAAGAAGTTGATGCCAGGTTGCTTAAATAAGCCCTGAAACTCAGATAAACAAGTAAACAAGCACAGTGAGACAAAAAAACAACTCGGAAGCAGCAGAAAAATATTCTCCAGTTCATAATACGTTTTGGGGACTCTGTAATCGAGATCGTGTGACTTGAGTTGCGACCAGTGACAGATCGCCCAAAGAATGGGAAAAGTTACAGAGGCTTAATAATATCCTGCTAAAAGAAACACTACTGTCAACATTAGCATAATACATTGTTACAGTATACACCAAGGAAAGCTTTCTTAATGACTTCATAGCTATCAGGTTGTCTTAATTAAATTTATTCTTAGGCTTTATCTTAAGTTTTGTGTTATAGGACAGAATTTGGAAAATATGCCATTTATTGCCAGCGATGTGTAGAAAGAACACAACAAAATGGAGATCGGGAAGCCAGACCCTCAAGAATGGAAATCCTTTCGACCCTTCTTCGAAATCCTTATCATCACTCTTTGCCCTTCAGCATCCCTGTGCACTTCATGAATGGCATCTATCAGGTGAGTTAGACTTTCTACCCCGAAGAAAACAAGCTGAGCCTGAGGTCCTGTGTGTGACCTCTGGGCAACAGAGAAATGAGGCTGTACACCTACCTTTGTCAGCAGCTGGCAGTGATAAACTCGCAAATAAATTAGATCTTCCATCAGAACTGCTGCATTTTTAAACAGCTTTGCTAAATAAAAAGGATTCACACGAAAAAACAAAACTACTTTGGTTGAGGTTGCCAGTGCGCCTGTTAGGTGAGGAAATAATTACTAACATTGGGTGTGTACAAGCTCAGTCGCTTTAAAGCAGCGGTTCTCAACCTGTGGGTCGCGACCCTTGAAAATACATCCTGCATATCCGATATTTACATTACGATTCATAACAGTAGCAGAATTACAGTTATGAAGTAGCAACGAACATAATTTTGTGGTTGGGGGTCACCACCACATGAGGAACTGTATTAACGGGCCGCGGCCTTAGGAAGGTCGAGGACCACTGCAAAAGTCTCCAAATCTCAGGAATTGTCTGGGAAAGCTTATGTGGGCCCTCCCAGCTCTCAGATCTCGATGTTCGCTTATTAAGTGAAGCCAACATGTTCCAAAGCTAGCAATTAGTCTTTGCCGCCATACGCCTTTTATCACAGGATTCAGATACTTAGCTGCATATTAAAGAAACAAACATTAAATGCATAAAAGCTCATTTGTTTTAAGTACATTTCTTGTTTATTTTTTTCATTTGCTTGTAGATTACATAGTGCACTGTCTTTCTTGGTTTGCTTTTAATGGGTAGGCCCAATATCACTGCAAAATGTTTACAGCTGTCAAATGATCTGCCTCTTTTTTAAATTCAGTTGGCTGAAGCCAAGATTTCTGAATTCTTACAGCAAGCTAATGACTAAGACAGCATTAATTTCTCCAGTGGTACTTTGGGGGGAGGGGGAGTGAAAGCACCCAGATAGATAGAGATATATATATATATCTATATATAGATATACAGATATAGATAGAG